ATAATATTATACTATAAAAGTATTGAAACAACTAGAAGTTAGCCCGGGCATTAGGGCAACGCCCGGGTTACTCACTAGTTTGGTTTATTAAAAGGGGAAGGAAATTGGATCCTTCTTAGGCCCTCTCCAATGGTAAAACTCAAGTGGGTATTTTTAGGAGAGAGAGAGATAGTATTTTTTGCAATGTATACCAATAAGTTGGTATCTAAACTTAGCAACTCCAAAAGAAAGTTGCTAAGTTTAGATACTCAACTTTGAGTCTCATTTAACAATAATTGTGGGCCCCTTATCAATATTTTGATATATTTTGTAATATATTTAAGTTACCTTTTTTATAATCCACTACTACATAACTAGCCTAGTGAACCACTTTTTGTGCAACACTTTTTACATATGTTGCCTTTGTGACTAATTATGTGCTATTTATAGTATTTATATTAAAAGTGTTGCATATTACTCTTTTTTGCAACACTTTTAAATAAGTGTTGCAATTTTTATCTAAATGTGCAACACTTTCAATAAGAGTTGCGTTAATAATAATACTTGTTAGAGGAGCCAAATTCTTTTAAGCGGTTCTTTTGAAAAAAAAATGAAAAATTAGGCGGGCAGGACGTTTTAGGAAACTAAGCTTCCCGAAGAAAATAATTACAAATTTGGTTGCGTGGCAAAAGTATTTACAAAAATAAGCTTCTGGGGTAAACCGCTGCCTCGGGCAGCGTTTTACCCTCTATTTTTTTTTAAAAAAAAATTCTGCTACAAAAACGCTGCCCCAGGCAGCGTTTTTATAGTTTGACTTTTTTTTTCCTCGTTTATTTTTTTTTAAAATTAATTAAAAAAAGGCAACAGCATAAAACGCTGCCCCAGGAAGCGTCTTATGCTTAAACATAAGACGCTGCCCCAGGCAGCGTCTTATCTTGTTAATGAAACGCTGCCCCAGGCAGCGTTTCTGTCTGGTTGTAAAACCAGAAACTCGAGCTTCGTTTTCAATCACGTTTGCTCTTCATTCCTTCGCCTCCTTCGCAATCCTCTTCCTTCCCTTCCCAAATTTCCTCTTCAACCCAATTTCGTATTACATCCAATTCAAGGTATGGTTAAATATTAGTTGAGTATTTACAAATTGTTCGTTATGTTTGTTGAATTCTTGAATTGTTGGTTAGTGTTGTTGAATTATTGAATTGTTGGATATTGTTGTTGAATTGTTGGTTAGTGTTGTTGAATTGTTGGTTAGTGTTGTTGAATTATTGGTTATTGTTGAATTTCTTGAATTGTTGAATTTCTAGGGTTTATGTTGAATTTTGGGGGTTTTTGTTGAATTTAGGGGTTTAGGGTTGAGTTGATGAATTGTGATTGTTAAATATTAATTTGGATAATGTAGAATTGTTGGTGTTGAAATATTGAAGATGTTAAGTATTTGAATTTCTAGAATTATTGCTTGTTAATGGTGACCTAGTGATGCTTAGTTGTTCCAAAGTGGTTAGTTGGATGTGATTTAGAGATGGATTAGTGTGTTTTAGTGTAATGTGTTTTGGTTGTTGTGTAGAATATGGCCGCACAGAATGTAGTTTTGTTGTGCCGGTGGGGAGGTGAATTTTTGTTTGACGGACCTCGTGTCGAGTATAATGGTGGAAATATGGAACCACTGACACTTGAACCGAACATGACCTTCAGTGATTTCATGAACGAGGTTCATAGTAGCGTTAGTTCAAACCCGGGGAGTGTTGAACTAAACATTAAAATGAGGTTTGAGACCGGGATCCGTACATGGTCTGGTACCAGCGGATTACCCGGCGTTTCATCAACCCCAGCTACACACCTCCCTCCACCCATTACCATCCAGCATATGACGTGATTTATGGATATGTGAGTTTCACTTCCAACCGATTAATTTTCATCTCTTTTTAGGTTTCTATGCATAACTGATCAATGATTATTGCAGGCGGCAGACATGGCATCGATGGTTGACGCGCTGTCCCTTAGCCTGGCTGACGGGCCCACCGGGAACGAGGTCCAGCGGGTTCGGGATATGGGCATGGCCAGCTTGCGTCGATATGGACACGACTACCTCGTCCCCCAACGGGACACGTATGATGGCCACTCGATGCATTCGTAGTTCGAGCTCGGACAGAGTAGTTGTGGAGGTGATTTTACGACGCCGACATTCTCAGAGGACTACACCTTCCACAGCACTGCGCCGTCCGGCTCCCAGGAGGTGCCAGATACCAGCCAGCTGACTCCCCCGCCGCCTCTAGACCCATTCACCACCATTACTCATTACAGGCGGCGGCGTGTCAGACAGAGGGCTGAGCAACCTGACCTAGATCAATTGCCCCGGATAGATGAATCGGGATAGTGTTAGCTTAGTTATTTCATGTAGTAAAATTTTTGTATAGATTAGGTATATAACATTTACATTTCTAATATAATAAATGTTTTTCGGTCAACATTTGTGTGTTATGTTCTTTGTTTCCCAATATGTTTTGATTTATGTATATATTGACTTGTCAACGGTGGTGGTGGAAGGTAGTGGTGTGAGGTGGAAGGTTGTTGGAGGTGGTGGTGGTGGAAGGTTGTTGGAGGTGGTGGTGGACGGTTGTTGGAAGGTGGTTGTGGTGGTGGGAGGTCGGGGTGGAAGGTGGTGGACGGCGGTGGAGGAAGGTGGTGGAAGGCGGTGGAAGCCGGTGGAAGGCGGTGGTGGAAGGTGATGGTTGGAGGTGGTGGTGGAAGGTGGTGGTTGGAGGTGGTGGAAGGCGGTGGTGGTGGAAGGTGGAAGGTGGTGGAGGTGATGGTTGGAGGTGGTGGAGGGCGGTGGTGGAAAGGGGTTGGAGGTGGTGGAAGGTGGTGGTGGAAGGCGGTGGTGGTGGAGGGCGGTAGTGGAAAGGGGATGGAGGTGGTGGAAGGAGGTTGGGGGTGGTGTTGGAAGGATGTTGAGGGTTGGGGCAAGAAACTGGTTTGGTACTGCCAACCAGGTAAAACGCTGCCTGGGGCAGGTAAAACATATACAGATAAAACGCTGCCCCAGGCAGCGTCTTATGTTCAAGCATAAAACGCTGCCTGGGGCAGCGTTTTATGCTGTTGCCTTTTTTTTTTTAATTAATTTTAAAAAAAAATAAACGAGGAAAAAAAAAAGTCAAACTATAAAAACGCTGCCTGGGGCAGCGTTTTTGTAGCAGAATTTTTTTTTTTAAAAAATAGAGGGTAAAACGCTGCCCGAGGCAGCGGTTTACCCCAGAAGCTTATTTTTGTAAATACTTTTGCCACGCAACCATTTTTGTAATTACTTTCGTAACGAAGCTTAGTTTCCTAAAACGTCCAGGCGGGCATCTAATTTTACATGGCAACCAATTGAAAACTCACCTACTCCTAGAGCCCTATTGTCCAAGGCACAACAACACACTTATTTTCTAGAAACATCCTTTCTCTCTCTTCCTCTAAAGGCACCCTCACTCTCTTCTTCTTCCATACTAAAGTTCAATAGTAAAGTAGTAAGAATTCACTTCACTCAAGCAATTTGTTTGTTGTCTTAGTAAGAAATTCTCTCTCCACCGCCAACAGCCTCGTCAATTTCGCCAACAGCCTCGTCAATTTCGCCAACAGCCTCGTCAATTCCGCTAGTAGCCTCTTCGTTGCTAACTCTTGGGCTAGGGTTGTTTATCGTATCATAATTTCGCAAGTTCGCTATGATTTTTTGAGGTATATTTTATACCCTTGTTCTTTTATGAGTTTTCTCTTTGTTGATATATGATTTTGCTGGTTAATTAGGATTAATCGATTCTTGGGGCTTTTTGGTTCTCAATTTTCTCAATGGGTGAAGTAAAAAATTGAAATGATTGAACAAGGGTCTAAATTTGAAGCTATATATGATAATTAGGGGTATTAATTGCATTAAATTTAGCATTCTACCTGTCAAAAAATAAATAAATAAATAAAATAAAATTAGCATTCTTATTTTCGTTACTCATTTGTAAATTGAGCTGAAGGTGAGATTTAGATATACTGTATGTGATAATTAGCACTAAATTCTTTGTCCATTTTAGTACCCATTATTTTTCTGTACAAGTTTCTTTGGTTTAAATAGCTTATAAATGGTTTCAGCTTTTAAAATGTTTTAAGGTGTAGTTAATTCTCAAACTTTTAACACTTATTTAAATATAATTATGGAGTATCATTCTACTGCAACATAAATAACCGGTTTGATATATATATATATATATATATACTAGTTTTGTACCCGTGCAATGCCCGGGTTGTTTATTGAATTTTAAGATATATTTTTAATCTATATGCCAAATTTTAAAACATATTATTGATACAAAATTAGTTAGGAATTGATGTGTTTTTGTGACGATTTAAACTTATAGACATGTAATGACAAATAATAATAATATTGGTGAAATTTTTTTTTTTGACCTTGTTTGAAATGACTCGTGACCCGACCTGATTGACAGGTCTACACACAGTAATAAAATTATATTAGATTGTGAAGTATATTATTTTAATTGATTAGAATATATTATAAACCATGGATGTAAACTTATCAAACCCTATTCCCTCCCTAAAAAAAACCACTTTCCCCTCTTCTTTTCTCCATTAAAGTTCTCTTCCATTGTTGTAAACTTATCTCATCTCCATTAAAGCTCCCTTGCTGCAAACTTATCTTCTCTTCTGACATTGCCATTGCTGCAAACTTATCATTGACTATTTATGTTTAATATTGAGATCAACTAAAATAGACAAAATAACTAAAATGTGGGACAAATTGAAATAGACAAAATGACATCAGTTGCTAACATTCATTAATATATATAGGTTATTTGGGAACATTGCAAAAATCCAACTTTCAATAGTAAAGTTGTCTACTAAATTACCAAATAACAACAGCAAAAATTATCCCAAATGACCAAATAAAAAACAGAGTTAACTACAAGTTTTGACTTTCTAACAAATTATCAAAATGCATATGCAACTATACAAAAGACTTAAGAGCTTGGAGAATTTGATTTTCATTGAGACATAGGCACTGGTTGGCTAGGCAACTGTGAAGCTGTCAGTACTGTTGCTTGCTCAGCTGAGGGTCTGCCCTTCTGTCCCTTTGCTTGTTTAGCTGAAGCTGCTGACTGATATCCAACTTCTTCAGATTTCTTTGCTGCCTTAGCTGCCTTTGCTGCATTACTTTGGTCTCTGACCCTAGGATTTTTTTATGACAACAGGCTCATTTGACTTCAGTTCTTTCCTTCCCAGTTAACCCTCCCATACAAGTTGTCTTATTATGGCCAAAGCAACCACATTTGCTACATTTGACTGTTTTGGACCTTTTTCCAGGTTGCTCTTCACCTGCCTCCCTCTTTCTATTCCTACTTAGTCTTCTAATTCCCCTCTTCATCTTAGGAGGCATGATGATTGTATCTGACTCATCTGCAGGCCATTGCTGTGTGTCAGGAATTGGGTTAATGCAGACACTATAAGCTTGCTTGTAAGTCTTCACAGAATACCAGGAACTAACAAAGTCATGTGGGTCAAGCTTTGCATCAATGCAGGCCCTAATGGCATGCCTACATGGCACACCTGTCAGTTGCCATGCCCCACAGGAACAAATCTTCTTGTTTAAGCTCAGAGGAAACTGTGATCTTCCTTCATGAATTTCATATTCTCCTGGACTTGACTTGAAAGCTCTACATTTTGAGGTGGCTTTACCTATTTCTTTCACTAGATTCACAATTTTAGGAGTAATGTCTTCATCTTTCCAAGAACTTGCATTCTCCATCCTTGTTGCAATTCTCACCATACAAACCCTTCTTATTCCTGCATTCAGTATCATAATTAGATGTCTTACTAAACCAGTTTGAAATAACAATGATATCATAGCAATTGAACAATTAATACCTTCTAGCAAAGTCAAAATAGGCCTACACCTATTCACCCCAAGTGTAGAGTTGAAGCTCTCTACAAAATTAGAGGTATTGAAGTCATTGCAAACATTTGGGTCAAATGCATGCTTACTCCATTTAGATTGCTCTCCCAAGTCTGCAAACCAACACATGACATAATCACCTCCTACTTTCTGCAACTTCTCCATAGCTTTCCTAAATGTGAAAGCTGAAGATGCATTGCAAGCTCTCCAAAAGAGAACATACATCATAGGGCCTGGAAAAAGTTTCTTGAAATTTCTACTGAGATGCCTACAGCAAAACCTCTTATCAGCTTTAGGCCAGACTTGTTCTAATGCAAGTTCAACTCCCTGATACAATGAGTACACAATAAGCATGTTTAGGGATAGACTCATATCATAGCAAAACAATGATAAAATTGAAACACAAAGAGGAAAGTACTTGCCTTTTGCCTATCAGAAATAATGGTTCAATGCTCCCTTTATGAGTCTTTCACAATGTTCAACAAATGCCAAAAGAATTATGTCCATGATTGCTTGTCTTCTTGGCCAACTACAACATATGCAATGGGGAAGATCTTATTATTTCCATCTATTCCCACAGCACAGAGCAATACCCCCCCATAGTTACCTTTGAGATGGGTCCCATCTACACCAATTAAAGGTCTAACACCTTTTAACAGACCTTTCCATTGTCCAGTGAAGGAGATAAAGATGCTTGTAAATTGCAACTGTTTAGGGATAGACTCAGTTTCATTCCATGCACAAAAAGCTTTTGACTTTAGGTTTGTTTCTATGCACATCTTAGCATATTGTGGCAGCATTCCATATGACTCATCATGTCCTCCAAACAACTGCTCAATCACATAGCTCTTTAACCTGTATGAGGTTGACTGCCTCATGTTGATGCCATATCTCTGAAAAAGAAGTTCATTAAGTGCTTTCCCAGGAATGTCTGGGTTAGCCCTGATGTCTTCCATGACTTTTTGTGATGCCCATTTTACATTGCATATGGGGTTGTAAGTCTCTAAGCCCCTACAAGTGTGTACATTAGGCCATATTTTCTTGATTGCCCAAGTTCTGCATCTGACAGTCTACTGGCATGCAATCTCCAATCGCAGCATTCAGATTGGCAAACTGCACTGTACCTTTTGTTGTCAGCATACTCTACATTGATGGAAAATCTTTCTTGAACAGCACAAAGTGTCCTTAAAGTGAGCTTTGTCAGTAAAAATCATCCAAGGCCTGAGTGTTATTTTACCAAAATCAGCATTCTCATACATTTCTCCATTTTTGTACAATATCTGAAAATAATCTTCATCATCAAAGAAGTCAAACCATTTTGTTGGTTTCCAAGTGTCCTTCACTTTTGGAATCCTATTAAGCTGCTCTTGCTCATCTTCTAGAATATCACCTGTTGGTGCAACTTCTCCATCAGAGTCTTCTTCAGCTTCATTATAACCACCTGATCTCTCAGACTCAGAGCTTTGGACAACAAATTGCATCCTTCTTCTCACCCTAGAACCAGAAGAACTGCCTGCACCTGATTAAATTCACCCCTGAAGAACTGCCCCTGAAGAACTGCCCTCAGTCACAGTCATAGTCACATTCACCCTAGAAGCTGATCCATGAATCTGACTCACAGTGTCACCAACACCTAGCGTCCTTCTCTCACTCACAGTTGAACCTATCCTTAACCCCTTTCTTATAGCTGTGGACCTAGGAATCTTTCTTCTAAATACAGAGGTCTGAGTTAATGGTTCAGAATCAGAAGTTTTAGGTGTCTCAGTGACTGCCAAAGGTGAGAATCTAGGACTCCTTCTTAGTGTTAAACCCTTGAAAACAGTAGTTGGTGACCTAGGAGATGGTGGTTGCATTGGGGTTGTTTTGGTGGTACTACTCTTTTTATTCTTTGTAGCCTTAACCTTCTTAGACTTTTGTATCCTGTCCATAGATTTCTCAAACTCTATTCTACCCTTGGTATACTCAGAAGCAGATTAAGGATTATTTGTTTCTTCTTGGGGTGAATCATAACCCTCATTATACCTAGGTGGAGAGGACTCATTATTTGGGATTATCTCATTAATAGAAGGTTGTTTATCAATTTGGGAATGGTAAAATTGGAATGGTTCTGTTTAGGTTGTTTCATTTTGAGTGGGTTGATCTGTTTGGAGTGTTTCATTCTGAGGGGGTGGATCAGTTGGTGGTACAGTTTGGGAAAGTTCATCATTATGGGGTGGTACAGTTTGGGAAGGTGCAGCAATTGGTTGTTCAGATTTGGATTTGTTCCTTAACCTGTTGATCATTCTATTCAAGGCACTTGGTTTCTTGGCAAACCCAACCCAAATGTGATACATCTCACAGCCACCTAGAGTATGAATCATCTTAAAAAAATCAGCATCATCTAGTAAAGGGTGATTCTTTTCATTGTGACCATAACCAAAGGTAGGGTTAATTAAGGGATACTCAGTGTCTAATGCTGCAGTGTCCTCAAAATCCATAATCAAGTCCGTCAAATTACATCTATCTAAGTCAACATCAATATCAACATGTTTATCCCAGTAATGAAACCTTATCACAACATCACCCATTCTGCAAAATAAGGTAAACAATGCACACACTTACAACATGCAAATTAATTCCAATTCAATTATCCAACAATCAATCAAACATGATCATGGCATTTCATTCAATTTAATTCCATATTCTAAACCAATAATTGAACAAACATAAGCCCCCACCTAATATACATGAAAGAATCCTAAAATCGCACAAATATACATCATTAAAATCATGAATCAAACCTAAAATCGCATATAAAAACAGAACATCAAACAAATGCACCAAATCATGGATAAATGAACAGTAGTAGTGCTAAAGTACCTGAATTATGCAAGATTTCCCTCTAATGGCTTTGTAGACCAACAAAATTAGCAAATTTTCCCTTGTAAACCCTTCGTGAATTCAACAGAGAGCAGAGGAGAGAGAGATGAAATTTGAAAGTGAGTTTGGTTTATGTCAAATCGACATAAATGGAAGGGGAAAGGGTTTTGATCGTTGGAGGGAAGGGTTTAAAAGGGGGTAAATTAGTCTTTTTCTTTTTTTTTTACAAAATTATATTTAAACCTAAATTTACTAACTTATTAACGTCTGATTAACAGATTTAATCACGTGAGTTAGTAAGTCATAAACTTGGGTGTATCATTAGGAAGTCAAAAAAAAAAAAATGTGGTATCGCTGGGAAAAGTCAAAACCTGAAGTCAATGGGAATTTCCCTTACTTTTATTATGATTTATTATGTTGCTTGATATATATATTTTTATTGCTTGATCACGCCTTTTATGCATATTTAAAGGGAATTTGTACTTGTAATCACGCTTAATAACATAATCAATAATCTTGTTTAGGGTTAATTTGATTATAATTCAAGTGATCGCCAATAATAGATTTATTTGTGCATTAAATTCAACCAGCATAGATAAACAGGTGTAGGGTTAATCCTATTGATTGCATGTTAATCAGAAAGCGTACATGAATACGATCTGAATAAAGTAGAGGCCTATTATTAGGGCGGGGTCAATCTCTTTTAGGTTGGATTTGTACCTTCATCCCCGAACCCTATTTGGTTCAAGACCTTATGGAGTTGACGATATCTTGGATCATTAAGGGGTGTAACCTTCACCTCGTGAACGGTTTACAAGTTCCTAAAAAACTTGTTGGCGACTCTTTTGTTCTATCTTCTTTCCCTTTGGACGCCACCGTACTTTAGTATATGATCACAGTGGGGCTCAAGCTAGGGGATTAACGCTTGAAATATTTCCTACAGTTACTATATTTTTTTGTTCAAATTATTGTGCATGTTTACTGTTTAAATTATCTGTGGCTTGCTAATTTATCTGTTAAGCTTATATGGCTTGTTTGATTATTAAACTTTATAAATGTCTTAGAGAGGTTTTATATGCATTTTAAAATTCTCTCAGATATATCTTCTGGAAATTAAAGTTTTAAAATGTAGGTGTGTTACTTTAAATTATAATTATTTAGTGAACCAAAGACTTATGGTAACTCTACTATTCAATAATTTCAGAACATTATTGAGTAATGGGGGAAGATAGAGGTTGGATGTATATAGCTAGACGTTTGCCTGAGTTTGAAAATGGTGTGATTAATTTTCTTAGTGCATCATTTGTTAAAGCAGCTTGAGGGAGCCAAATTAGATGTCTATGTAAGAAGTGTGAAAATCGATATTGGTATCGTAGAAATGAAGTGTTTGAACACTTGAAAGTAGAGGGGTTTGTTGCTAACTACTATGTTTGGAATTTTCATGGGGAAGAGCCATTGCCAAAGAAATTTGTAAATGTATTAAGTGAACATGACTAAGACATGCATGACAAATTTGATTTTAATGAATTATTGCATGATCAATTTAGAGAAACGATAGATGGGACAAATAGTTTCCAAAAAGGACCAAACAAGGAGGCCCAAAATTTTTATAAATTAGTAGAGGAAGGTAGGCAAGAGTTGTTTCCTGGGTGTAAGAATTTTTCTAAGTTGTCTTTTATAGTCAGACTTCTTCTCATAAATTCCCTTCATAGGCTTAGTAATGTAGCAATTGATGACATTATAAAACTTTTCAAAGAGGTCATTCCGGAGGCTAAACTTCCTGCAAACTTTAATGGCGCAAAAAGTATTGTGAAGGATTTGGGGCTCGATTACAAAAAAATTTATGCATGCCCGAATGATTGTATGTTGTATTGGAAAGAAAATGAAAATGATGAGGAATGCCATGTTTGCCATGTCTCTAAGTGGAAACAACGAGATGAAAACGATGAAGATGGAAGCAAAAAATCTTCTAAGAAAAAATCTCGGATTCCAGCCAAGGTTTTATGGCATTTTCCATTGAAACCTAGGCTTCAGAGGCTGTATATGTGTTCAGAGACAGCTGAAAACATGAGAGGGCATTTTGAAGGGCGTCTTAAGGATGAAAATCTACGACATCCTGTTGATGGGTTGGCATGGAAGAAATTTGATGAAAATTATCCTCATTTTGCAAAAGAGCATAGGAATGTCAGGTTAGGTTTGGCTAGTGATGGGTTCAATCCTTTTCGCACAATGAGTATTGCACATAGTACGTGACCTGTAGTTCTAATCAATTATAATTTGCCGCCATTGATGTTTATGAAGCAAGAATACTTGATGGTGTCCTTGTTAATTCCTGGTCCAGAATCTCCTGGTAATAACATTGATATATATATATATATATATATATATATATATATATATATATGTATATATATATACAAATATGTATATATATATATGCAACCCTTAATTGAGGAGCTTAAAGATTTGTGGAATAATGGAATTCAAACATATGA